TGTTATTGTATATGGTACGAACTTTTATCTGTGATTGGCTAATTACGCGGCGTGACGGACGTGTATCTCGTGATTGTTCAGATCCAAATGTCTAGGAGTATAATATCCTAAGCCATGCTTCGGACAATAATAGTTATGTTGCATGTTGCAGTTAATTCTGAAAAATGAGAATAATAGAAGCTTAAGTTGCTAAATAGACTTAGTAAATTGGGATTTATCAAAATTTATTTCAGCCATAATATTTTCAATCACATAAAAATATTTCCTTTTGTAAGAAAAGAAAATTCTAATTATCAATACCACCAAATGTTATTGTAACAGTATATCACATGCTTTACTATTAACATAAACTTTTTTGCGCATTTTTTGCTAATACCGTAAAACAGCGCTTTATATACTTTATGAAATAATTTCTTAAAGTAATAATAAGCTTCTCCATCTAAATGTTGATCCCTAATATCCTTAGAGTAATTAATAAATTCGACCAAAGAGTAATAATGTCTCAGAATATCTGCATCGTTATCATCTACAATTTTTTGGAGAATTTTTTTCAAATATTCCAAAGAACGATATTTAAAGGTAATTAAAAAATCCCATAGTTTCTTACAAAATGTATAATCATACTCTTTCATCATTACAGCAAAGAAATAACCACCATGCCCATGGCTATTCAACCAATATTTATATATAGTTAAAAATTCTATATCATAATTTGGGACTTCTTCAAATTCATGCCTTAACCAGCTATTCATATAAAAGTGCTGAAGAGTTACTTCAAAATGCTTTTTCGTTGTTCGATCAATCAATTGTATTGAAGAAATAAAATCAACTACTGATTTTTTAAATGTAATTCGGATATTAAAAATATCATTAACAATATTTTCAAATATCTTATCAATAATTTCATTTGGAAGAATTTTGAAATAATTTCTTTTGTGCCTCTTATAATTACGTTTCTTATACAAAATGTTCGTATAATAATTTTTAATTTCACGATTTCGTAGTTGGAGACTACTTTGAGTTTTCATCGTACTGATATTTTGCCTCGTTGAAATAATTTCGCATATAAATATATATATACAACATACAGAATCACATGAATTTCCTTTAACATTTTTAACAGATAATAACAAACTTAATGTAAACTAATATATTTAACGAATCGCGTGGATTTTGTGTCTAGAAATTCTGACTCTACTGTTATTTAGCAATATAAAAACATTATAACCAACCATATATTTCAAACCTGTTTTCAACCAAGTCTGGATTTAATTTATGGTCTTAAGCATTAGACGAGAGATAACAGTGAATATTAGCTAACAATGAGGGTATTTTTTGATCTGAAATATATAGGTTTTATGAACTTTAATTGTATAGAATTGTCAAGTTGATTACATTAAGAAGAAATTGTGAGTTATTTCTTGTCAATTGAATTAATAAATGCAAAAGCACGTTTTTAACCTAATTCATTTACTCGTTTAAATATTTTAATGCTTTATTGTGATTTTTATTCATGTCGTATTTTTCATTCTTTACATGATTCCAAGCTCGTAATGAGTTAGTTTGTTATCAAGTTTGGTCGATTTTTCTAACCAATACTTCATTTTACTTAAATCGATTATGGTTTCAATTCCCCTTTCATAACTCTTGATAAGAGATACATTGCGTATTTGTTATTCACTAACGTAGATTTCTTGAACAAAGTGAATGGGTTTTCTGTTTTTTTTTTAGTGCCGAATCAATCACGATAGTATCTTCCAAGGTTTTGCAGACTTCAGCATCTCCAAGGACTGCGAATTTTTGCGCATAGAAGAACGCTTTGAAAGATTCATACTTGATACTTTATTCATATACAAAAATTGACAAAGCTACTGTACGTGATTTTTGTGGTCACGTGTAGATCCAGTTAACACCCATGAATTAGCCTGACATAGGAAGTAATAACATAATCGAAAGGTTTATTGCTTCTGGCAAGGTGCATCCAAATACACATTTATATATAGAATTGCCAACCAATAAAATGATATTTATATTACAAAAGCCATATACACAGAAAAGATATAAAGTATATATATAAATTAGACTTTAAGACTTTAAAGATGTGTAGAAGACCATCAACCAAAAATTTATATTTTTTTATTGGTTCTCGGTAAATCTTATTAATGACTATTTGTCGTAAAATAAATCGTAATTTTTTTGATCAATTTTCTTGAAAACAATATAAAAAACCAATTTCATTTTCCATGTACAAATAGTCATGACAAAAATAATAAAGAAACAAAATATTAAATGTAAATGAAATAACAAAAAGCCACTTATAAATTTTGTAATGATCATTAACATCATTAATGCTTGTTTTCAGTTTGCTATTTACTTCTTGTTCAAGCTCGTCTATGTCGTTTTTGCTAACAATACCATTGGCCGAAGAATCTTCAGATATAATTGTATCTATATAAAATAAGTATTAATTTCTCTCTTATAATTACTATTTAATTATAAATTTTTACCTTGAGAAGAACTTAATTCATCCCCATTTGAAGAATCCAATGTCGACGAGGACAATGAAAGATTCAAATTATCAAAATAATCTTGTTGATTTGGTGGATAGAGGGGTTCACTTTGAGTATATGACATTGCGTGAGAAAAGCAAAGAATAAAAATTAAGCAAATTATCAATTTTATCGTTGAAGATTGGAACGTTACTCTGAGCTACTACAAGAGTCAGTCAATAAATTTATATTTTCGATAAATCACGCTTGTAATTTCATATATATAAATCATGACTCAGTTGTTGAGACAGCATAAATCTGATATTAATGTAAAATATAGTATAAATAATATATGCATATAACTGAAGATAAAAGAACACTAAACTAAGTTAACTGTAACTTTAATTAATAATAATGTGTAAATATCACATTATCTAACATTATCTTATCATAAGATACTTCATACTAAAGATGTTAAGCCGGTTAATTTATTATTAGTTAAACCGGCTAGTTACGTATAAATTATATTGTAAAATTCGGACCATTTAACATCCCTCTTTGTAATTCCGCATTAAAGGCAACTTTGGCAGTAAATTCTAACACTAATATGTGCTCAATTCCGATTTTAAAAGTAACGCATATAAATTATCATTACTACCGTGCAATTGATTTACATTAAATGACAGCCTTTCTATGAAGTCGCAGTTGATTCTTTTTTTTTATTATAAAGAAATATGTAATAGTCATGTGAAAATAAATAATTCATGAAGAGATTTTTAATAAATATTTTTTAATTTAAAAATAAATATTTATTGAAAAATTTTATTTATAAAGTCGAGATTAAACTACAAACTTAAGGATAGAAGAAAATGCCTCGCGTATCCTTGCTCGAAAAAGCAAAACATCAACTTTTGTCTAATGAAATTGTAGAAGGTGCACTCACATATCTTAAAGCTACCGAGGGCCTTCTTGTTCGTCAACTTAGGCGCAAAGATATTTCTGAAGAAGATTATAAATTTCGAACAAATGAAATCACATATTTCAAAAATACAATCGAACAATTGAATTTTAAAGCCAAGAATTTACAAAATGAAATTAATAAATTGAGAAAAGAAAATAAAGATTTGAAAAAAGAAAATAAAGATTTACATGAAGAAATGAATAATCTCAGTCGAAATTTCGGTTTAATTCATTTAGATGAAAATGAATTATTAGGAAGAAAAAAACAAGAGAAGATAAATGCATTACATGAAATTCGAAAAGTATTTGATTTGTATAAAAATAAATATAAACTAGGTAAGGAAAGATGTTATATTCAAATTTCTTTATGTATTATAAAGTATTTTATTTAATTATGTAAATCGTTAATTAAGATACTATTGACGCTGGCCCTTCGAAGATTGTCGAAATTATTGAGATTGAAGCTGGTCCTTCGATGATCGAGACAAAATTAGAATTTGAAAAATTTCTAATTCCAGAAATATTATCTGAAATTATTTTGAGTTTATCTCCAAGTGATATTTCAACTTTGTTAAGAGTAAGTCGATCGATTAAAACGTTGATAGAAGTTCATTTTGAAGAAAGTCAAAATTTTTGGAGAAATTACTATTTTCAATTTTATAAAAGTTTACAAAGATCCGAAATTAAACTTTTATATAATTGTAAAAAATGCCTGCATTGCAAAAATGAATTAGTTGATCCCGTAATAATTCATGAATTAAAGATTAAAATTTGTAGACAATGTATTCCTTTCGCTTTAATTAGGTAATTCAAAAATGCATTTTATTTTTTTGTTTTTTTCTTAACTAATTTAATTTACTTTAGCCGTAGAGAGTTTGAAGAAACTTGGTTACTTAATAATCAAGACTTAACTAGTAAAGAAGAAACCATTAAAGAAACAATCATTAAAGAAATTCATTCGGAGAATTTTTCGATTAAAGAAGAAATAATTAAAGCAATTCATTCAGTAGATTTTTATCAACTTCAAGGATTTTATTTGAGTTTTGATTTACGGTATAGTTCTTTTTTATGGCATGTACTATTCTATTTTAGAGAAGATACCGAAAGGTTTATGAAGGAATTTAATCGAATTCCTATTGATAAGGTAAAAAACTGGTTAAAAGAGAAAGCAGACATCGTTAATGAATATCAAAAAAAAATTTTAATGGTTAGAAATCCTTTGATTAACGATGATAATATGGAAAAGATCCTAAGCAACACCAGCTTTTCTATTCCTCAAGAATATACACTTAGCGATAATTTAGATTCTATATTTTCTAATTTTGCATAAATGTTATTCCAATTATTCCGAAAATTTTCTTATGTAAATATTTTTTATACTCAATTTTAATCCAACAATAAAAAATTTTTATACTTAAAAAAAATGCATTTACTCGTTTAAAATCGTATTTTTGGTTTACAAAATTGTAAGAAATACGTTTATTTCATTTTAAAATTGTAAGAAATACGTTTATTTCATTTTTAAAATTGAAGACAATTCTCGATTTTGATTATCGTGGTTTGCAAATTGATGTGACTTTGATAAAATTTGTAGATCACTGCATGCCCATTGTCCGATTGCAATCGATTGTACGTGATTTTGTGATTTCTCAGTAACTATCTGATAAAATTTGGTTTATTTGAATTTTATTAATCCATAGAATTTAAATAAAAAAAATTCCATCAAATTTGATCAGGTTGTTGCTGAGATATCTTCACTCAAAGTTTATTAAAAATATCAAACGTCAATCAAAAATAGAAGCTGCGCCGAATTTGGCTAAAACTTTGAGAGAAGATATCTCAGCAACCACCTGATCAAATTCGATGAATTTTTTTTTATATTAATTCTAAAGATACATAAAATTAAAATAAAAAAAAATTCATCGAATTTGATCATACAGTTACTGAGAAATCACAAAATCACGTACAATCGATTGTAATCGGACAATGGGAATTTGGCTAAAACTTTGAGAAAAGATATCTCAGCAACCACCTGATCAAATTCGATGAATTTTTTTTTATATTAATTCTAAAGATACATGAAATTAAAATAAAAAAAAAAGTCATCGAATTTGATCAGATAGTTACTGAGAAATCACAAAATCACGTACAATCGATTGCAATCGGACAATGGGCATGCAGTGATCTACAAATTTATCAAAAGTCGCATCAATTTGCAAACCGCGATAAATCAGTGTCACGGATTAATTCATAACCCCGGTAGTCAAGATTTCTCAGTGACTATTTACAGTGTTATTTCGTTATAACATAATATTAACTACTGTAGCTAGACTTACAAAAAAAGTTGCAACTTCACTATAAGTGTCGTAACTATTCGCTCACTTCAGAGAGGAGGGTAATTACCTAATACTTGTAAACAGAAAAATTTATATCTTATGGTTATTAAGTCCTTGATACTCTGAGTTTACAAGAAGCACTCGTTAAAAAAATTTTAAAACTAAAATCTTTTTTAAAAAAATTTATTTTGAGTTCTTCAAAAACAAAATTATTCTTATTACAATATTGATACCAACATTAATTAATTTAAAGGAAATCTTCCGGTTACATATTTTTCAAAATAAAAAAAAATATATACGATTAAATGGTCTTAATTAAAAAGAATTCAAAAAATACCCTTATCAGAATAATCTTGATGTCATCATAGAGACGTCTTTCTCTTTTAGAGAAAATCATCATTTAAGAGCAAAACGAACGAAAGGACAAGAATTGTAGGATGTTGAGAATAAAATCGAAAACAAATTTAAGGGAAAGAGTATATTAAACTGAGAACGGCCCGGTGGGCTCACATTCTCGACCGGCCTGGTAGGCTCGCGATCAGAATTATAACAAGGCGATTAAAGATGTTTAATGGGAAAAACAGAAGCAGCAAGTAAAGTTTTCCTTCTTTAATACAATACTTAATTATTCAGTTTATTAGTCGATTTTCGAATGGAACGACAAAAATAATTTTTCCTCAAAAAAAAAAAATAAACATTAGTGATCACATAATATTATCGTTTAAAAACAATAAATCAAATAATAGACAATACTTTCCCTTGAAAAAAGGAAATTATATTAAATTATATTAATTCAAAATAAAAATCAAAGTTACTTTGCTGTTTACGCTTAACACTCGATTATTCTCTAAGAGACATCTACGTTTGGTTAAAAATATTACATTATTAGCTAGATAGAGCTAGGTCTGTTTCAATGCTTTTCAAATTTTATTACCAAGAAAATCATCGTCATAAAAAATAAAATAAATAAAATTGACTCTCAACAAATCTTTGGTCTCTTAATCCGATTCCATTGACGAGTTTTCTATCATGGACTCAAAAGGTTGACTGAATAAGTTCAAATCAATGAAATTTAACAGATTTTCTAGTTTGATCCGGTAGGAGTTAATTGCATAATTTTCTCATTATCAACAAATAAACCTGCACATAGTAGTAAAATATACAGTGAAACAAACACAGATATTGAATGATCTGGTTTGGATATGACATGGCTCCTTAAAAAGTTGACCAAATATTTGATTCAAATTCAAACCTTGACCTGATTTTGTGGAGTACTAAATAAGCCGAATCCCAATGTTATGCATATTCAAACTAGATTAGTCATTCAAATCTCGAGCTTTAGGAAAATTTTGCCTTATTTTGGGAAAACCAACACTAATCGGAGTCAGTTTATCTGTTCTCATGATTATTTCAATACATGGGTTGCCATCAATAGAAATCAGGCAGATCTACATTTGAAAGAAGACATGTCATGCACATTCAAACCTGATTAATCATTCAAACAAGAAATGGTTATCTATGTTTGTTTCACTACTACTTACTACAAAGAAATTTACTTATTAAACTTCGTACTATGGGAAAATTTTGCCGTACTTTGGGAAAACCATCACCAATAACATGACTCCCATTTGAATCTGCATAACATACTCCTTTCTAATATATTGAGCCGAATCCCGATTGGTGATGGTTTCCCAAAGTACGGCAAAATTTTCCCATAGTACGAGCTTTGATAAGTAAATTTCTTTGTAGTAAGTGGCAGTAAAACAAACAGATAACCATTTCTTATTTGAATGACTCCTTTCTAATGTATTGAAATAATCATGAGAATAGATAACCTGAATCCGATTGGTGTTGATTTTCCCAAAGCTCGAGATTTGAATGACTAATATGGTTTGAATATGCATAACATAACTCCCATTTGAATATGCATAACATACTCCTTTCTAATATATTGAGCCGAATCCGGATTGGTGATGGTTTTCCCAAAGTACGGCAAAATTTTCCCATAGTACGAGCTTTGATAAGTAAATTTCTTTGTAATAAGTAGCAGTGAACATAAATAACCATTTCTTGTTTGAATGATGATGATTAATCTGGTTTTAATGTGCATGACATGACTCCTTCCCGACTGATGATGATTTCCCAAAGTAAGGTAAAATTTTCCCAAAGCTTGAGATTTGACTAATCTGGTTTGAATATGCATAACATAACTCCTGTTTGAATATCATAACATGACTCCTGTTTGAATATCCTTTCTAGTATTGAAACAATCATGAGAACAGATAAGCCGAATCTCTATTGGTGCTGGTTTTCCCAAAGTACGGCAAAAATTTCCCGTAGTACGGCATTTGATAAGTAAATTTATTTGTAATAAGTAGCAGAGAAACAAACATAGATAATCATTTCTTGTTTAAATGACTAATCTGGGTTGAACTTGCATAACATTACTCCTTTCTAATGTAGTGAAACAATCATGAGAACAGATAAGCCGAATCTCTATTGGTGCTGGTTTTCCCAAAGTACGGCAAAATTTTCCCGTAGTACGGCATTTGATAAGTAAATTTATTTGTAATAAGTAGCAGTGAAACAAACATAGATAA